TTTTAAAAGTTCGACGAGTCAATATGAGTTTTCTATATCGTCGAACATTTTAATTGCATAGTTATGTAAATTAGGGAATAATTTAAACGTTTATTGACCTCGCCAACAAAAATTTCAACAAACAAAAAGGGGTGACTTTTAAATACATGAATACATATTATTCGTTTCGAAACAAAAGAATCTAAAAAAAAAGATCCGTGCGTCGTGTTCAATGTTTCACTAATTTCAATAAGGGGCGTGATGCTTCCTAAATACAACACTCACGATACCGTGAAGTAAAAGAAATGATTCTAAATATTGCCTCTTTTTCACATCATTCTATTATTCAAGAACCTACACTGTACGATGCAAACGATTTTTCAGATGACTGTTGTTTGGAATTAATAATGAAGGGGAGGTTGGGAGGAGGTGGGGTTTTTTAATATCACGCGCCCTTCAGCATTAGAATATAATTTTTTTGTAATTCCGAGGGACACCTCCAGCAAGTAAGTAACGAGAAGCTTTCAGGTGCATAACAATAGAACGTTTTTGTTCGAAATGGAAGCCATGTGGAACTGTCGGTGATACTAATGGAGGGTTTGAATGAAATGATGTGGTTGGGTGACTGTGAAAGTTAGGAACATTTTTATTCGGTGGAATTTTTTTTTTATAGTTCAAGAACTGGAAAGTTGAACTATATATAATATTTCGTGGAGCGTGGACAATATAGCAGAATGGTGGATATTTTAGCAATTTTGAAAGCAGGAAAAGAATATTGCATTTTAAGTATTTATTTTCGTCAGAGTTTTCATTTATTCTGTGTATTCCGTTTATATGGAAAATATTACGAGTGTACCGGGAAAATTCCTTTTGTAAAAAGTATTGTGTTGGCAAAGGATAATCAACATGCCTCCAAATGGTCAGCCAAAGTAAACGAGGGAATGGCAACATATATATTTTAAAATGATCCTATTTACCATAACAATTAGGTAGGAGCCATGATGACTCAGGGGTTCGAATCCCAGCGATGGCTAGTCGATACGAATTCCGCATCTGGCTTGCATCGATCACAGTGCTGATATAAAATATCCTCAGTGGTAGACGGAACATGGATTAGAGTCCCCTTGCCGTTAAGCTAGGTTTTCGTGGTTTTCCTCTCCATGTCAAACAAATGCTGATTAGTTCCATTCAGAAAGTCCTCCTCAACGGTAAATTCCTCCAGATACTTGATCCAGGAGTTCCCTTGTCTTCTGGATTGGGTTCAAAATTACAAGACTGTTGAGTTGAACATTAATAGTCGTAAGCCATAAAGAATTGGGTCCGCTGCTCAGCGAGGTTATGAATAGTAATCAGGGAGATAATCTCTGACACCTTCAAAGTGATAACTATTAGAATTTGAGTGGCTGTTATATCAAAAATATCCCTTTTTTCTTTGATAGTAAATTTATAACCGCTTAAGTATTTTTGGCGAACTGTAAGCTACCCAATATATCAAAAAAGTGTTTTTATGAAGAAAAAAATATCGTTAAAACGAAAATCAAAAATTTAAGTTAATGTTATCTGGTCGATATGCGTTATCCGGTCAATATGAATTTTGCTCCCGTCTCGCTCCGACCACAGCCACAGTGGTTCAAGGGATATTGTAATTTAGAGCCACGGTAGCTCAAGGGATAGAGCGTTCGCCACCCGATGATGTGACTCAGGTTCAAATCCCAGATACGAATACGGCTTCCAGCTTGCTACGCCCAGAGTACTGACATAAAATATCCCCAGTGGCGGACGGAGAATCCCCTTGCCGAAGGAGGTTCTCCTCTCCATGTAACGTAAATGCGAGTAAGTGCTACTAATGGTGACAATCATGCTTCAAAAATAATGTGATAGCTAATACTAAACGATTTCAAATTAATCTATAGAATATATGCAAATAGGTATTTTTTTATCACTACTGCGTTTTCACAACAATAGTTCATAAAGGAAACAAACAAAATAAAATAATTATTTACCTCCCCCCCACACCCAGTCCGTCTAGTCACTTAACTCTTCTAATTTTCGGTTTTTTTCGTTAACCTCTTCGAGACGGGCAAGCATGCATTCTCAGTGTGGCGGCAATCAGGGTAAAAAAGATAAAATTGGTAGCCAAACTATTTTAATAGCAGTTTATTTATAGGAGGTGTAATAATAATTTTCTTTATTTAACTCACAAAGACTTAGTTCAAAGTAAAAATTATACAGCTACACTTTTAACAAACATACTTTTGCATATATTAGATTTAAAGTGAAAGCGAAAATAAGGCTGTCAAATTAGCGATGCCCAAAGTTAATCTACCGCTTTTTATTTTTTTCCATAGTGTTGCTGATTCCATAGGAATATATTTATGAGTCGCCCGTTCCGAAAAGGTTGAGATATTTCTTCCGTATTTAACAGGCTTCACTATAGATTATAACTAACATGAAATTAGATTTTAAAATGCTTCTAAATCATTATGCAGAGATACAAACTTGCCCCGGATAGTTATTTTCAAGTGGTAATCTTCCAATGTAATGATTTTCGGCGGCTTAGTAAATTCTACTTATAGGATTTTTTTTCTTCTTAAAACCACTTCTAAATATTTCAAAGGCTTATGTTACAAGTTAAGCTGAGCTGAGCCTTTTAAGAAGTTTACAAAATTAACCGTAAATCTGAACATTTCAGTCAAATCAGAACATTTCGTTTTTTAAAATATTTTGTCGAGTCCGGAGCATTGGCAGCTCTGCACTAAGCTATTAAAAAAGAACGATAATAGTAAATAACATAACAATTCGATGAGATTATTAAATTCTATGAGATGATGAAAATACGTATCATTAACGAGCAACGTGTACACATTCCTAACAACATCTTAATGTTGTATTACGTAATTTAACAATGATACGTATATTTATATAGCGTCATTGCCATGCACTGCTTTAAAATAAACAAAACTTTTCTGCAGTAGAAAGTGCATAATCTTGTAGAACAAACAAAACAAACAGATAAATGAAATTGAGAAAACAAATCGCGTCGAAAGGACAACAGATTATACTCTATTTGAAGAGTCGATAAACATTCTATACATATATTTTATCAGACACACTGAATTTGTGAGTAAATTCGTTGCCAAATAAATAACCACTGGATATCTTCTTTATAGACTTCACTTCATTAAAACAATATTGTAAAAAAGTAAAATAATATTTACTGGCTTGATAAACCAAGTAAAAGAGATAAAAAAAAATAGTATGAAAAAGTAAAAGTCAAAAACTTCTTTCCGGCACAAAAAATTCCCCCAGCTTCTCCAAAAATGACACTTCCGTTCCATATGCTCCACCCATTATGCGCAAAGGACGAATTTAGCTAGCTATAATATGCGCAAGGAAAGATTCCTGTCACAATGAATTTTCACTCAGGTTTTATCTTGCAGACGAAAACTTCTTCGAAGTAGAGTGGTTGTGTGAAAGTTGTGATATCGTTTTAAAGGTATTCGCTTTATTTTGGAATTAATAATAAGTTTTTTTTTGGTTATGTGGTTTTGTATCCGGCCATAATCCGATGGATATTTTGTGAAATCTTGTTACATTTTGTGTTTAAGGTGGTGTGATCATTTTTTCTTGTGAACACATTCTTTTTACAAGTACCGGCTTGGAATAATATCGTTCGGATAGCATCGTGCACTTGTTGTGGATGTTTTAACAGGTGAGTTTTATGACTGATCTTTGTTGTGGTGTGATGCCGTTATGTTCCATAACTTTTGATTAGCACAAAATATAATATATCATGCTTTTTGTTTTTTAAAAGAATAATGTTTTTAACTTTTGTGCGGTATAATCATTTTCATTGCATCAGCATTCTTGTTGTTATTATTATAACTTTTAATTATGATTATTTGTTTTGAATTTTAGATTATTTGTTAACTGTGTTGTATCTTGTTTAAAAATACCTCAATCTCGAAATGGTTATTATTTTTTAAATTGTTCGCTTGGAACTTTTTTTTAACGTATAAAAATCGAATAAATAGATTACATATAAGTACATTTTTAGGAAATTTTATATTTTAGAAACTTAGATGGATTATGGTAATTTATATTTAGGCTGTGCATTTCTTATTAATTAATAAGATCTATTATATTTTTCGAACTGTTCCCCCCCATTTTTGTTATCAAAAATATTATGTTTATGATTATATATTTATTTTTGTTCATTTTTTAAAATTTCATGAATATATTATCGGAATATACAAATATTATATAGTTAAAAATGTGGAAAACTGAAGTTATCGATTATATTTATAATGTAGCTAAATTAATTATACAAACTATAATTAAATTCAACCCGAAGATCTGCCTATTCATCTTATCAAACATGCAGAGAATTATCCAACGTTATGAGGACCTATTCTTATGTGTATATTAAACTTTTAAGTAAGTATTTTTAAATGCAAGGGTCTTTCCAGAGTTTTTTCTGAATGATCATTGTTTATTTTTTTTCCTTTTTGAAATCGTAAAAAATATCCCAGATTTTTGTAAAAGGTTCCATTTATTGTAAATTTAATGGCCATTGTTTTTTTTTCTTTTTGAAATCGTAAAAAATATCCCAGATTTCTTGTAAAAGGTTCCATATTTATTGTAAATTTTCGAAAAATCTACTCATAATAAAAGAATCAAAAATTTCCGTGGGATCGCTTTCTTCCTGCCAGAGTCCTCTTGTGAAATAAACGCAAGAAACGTGTCTTCAAAAGTTTGTGGGTTTAATATAATGAATCAAACACGTTATTGACATAAATTCTCAAAAGAAATATTTTGCGAAGGGTCCATTAAAGAAAAGAATTACGGAGGTGAGGTTTTGAAAATAATATTTATTAGGAACGAATCTAATAGTTCCTTAAATTCCAATTTCTTTTATTTTTACCAGCATTTTGCGCAGTTTCTTCATGCTAATAAAATTATTGAATCCATTTTAAATATCGAGGATAATAAAATGTTAATGTCTATTTTTCACNGTATTCGCTTTATTTTGGAATAAATAATAAGTTTTTTTTTTGGTTATGTGGTTTTGTATCCGGCCATAATCCGATGGATATTTTGTGAAATCTTGTTACATTTTGTGTTTAAGGTGGTGTGATCATTTTTTCTTGTGAACACATTCTTTTTACAAGTACCGGCTTGGAATAATATCGTTCGGATAGCATCGTGCACTTGTTGTGGATGTTTTAACAGGTGAGTTTTATGACTGATCTTTGTTGTGGTGTGATGCCGTTATGTTCCATAACTTTTGATTAGCACAAAATATAATATATCATGCTTTTTGTTTTTTAAAAGAATAATGTTTTTAACTTTTGTGCGGTATAATCATTTTGATTGCATCAGCATTCTTGTTGTTATTATTATAACTTTAATTATGATTATTTGTTTTAAATTTTAGATTATTTGTTAACGGTGTTGTTTACATCTTGTTTAAGAATACCTTAATCTCGAAATGGTTATTATTATTTTTTAAATTGTTCGTTCGGAACTTTTTTTACCGTATAAAAATCGAATAAGTAGATTACATGTAAGTACATTTTTAGGAAATTTTATATTTGATGGATTATTGTAATTTATATTTAGTATGTGCATTTCTTTTTAATGAATAAGTTTATCCTTTATTATATTTGTCGAACTGTTTCCCCCCCATTTTTGTTATCGAAATTATTATGTTAAAGATTATATTTTTAATTTTGTTCATTTTTTTTTAAATTTCATGTATATATATATATTATCGGAAAATACATATATTTTATTGTTAAAAATGTGGAAAACTGAAGTTATCGATTACATTTATAATGAGGCTAAATTAAATATACAAACTATAAATGAATTCGTCGCGGAGATCTATTCGTCTTTTCTCCTATGCAGAGAATTATTAAACGTTATGAGGGCTTATGTGTATATTAAACTTTTAAGTAAATATTTAAGTGCAAGGGTCTTTCCAGACTTCTTCTGAATGGTCATTGTTTATTTTTTTCTTTTTGAAATCGTAAAAAATATCCCAGATTTTTTGTAAAAGGTTCTATTTGTTGTGAAGTTTCGAAAAATCTACTCATAATAAAAGAATTTAAAATTTCCGTGGGATCGCTTTCTTCTTCTTTCTAGAGTCCTGTTATGAAATAAAAAAAAATAATAAAACAACATACCTTTGAAAGGGTTGTGGGTTTAATATAATGAATTAAAGACGTTATCGACACCAATTTTCAAAAGAAATATTTTGTGAAGGGCCCATTAAAAAAAATAATTTTGAGGTTCGATTTTAACAATAACATTTATTACGAACGAATCTAATAGCTCCATCAGTTCCAATTTCTTTTATTATTAACAGAATTTTGCGCACTTTCTTCATGCTAATCGATAAAATTGTTGAATCCAATTTAAATATCGGGTAACGAAATGTTGAATGTCCATTTTTCACAAAATTGACGATTGGATCGCTATCAGTTGCATTTTGAGGATTACTAAGGTTTGAAAAATTAATAACGCGTAATTAACTGTTACTACCCGCTCGCAAAATTCATTTTTTTCCCCTCAGATTCAGCTTTCATGCACTTAAACCGTTCTTCTACCTTGATCTTCATTTTTAGTAGCTTCATTTGCTGAAGAGCAAGTATTAGAGAGAACATGTTAACAATTAGAGAGAGCGTGTTAATTGCTTTTGGGTTTTCATTCAACCCAGGAGGCGGGTTATAATACAAATTTTAAGTTAAGGTCATAATAATACTTAACTTACGTAAATAATTTAATTATTTATGCATAGCAGTCAACATTTTCACATTTTGAAAAATAATTATACTAGTAAAAGTAAAAATTTGCAAAATCTTTTTTAAAATTTTTTTTTTATTGTCAAAAACCTGAGGAAAGGGTTGAAAACAATCGAAAAATAAGCTTCTCTTTTTCTTAAAGTTTTTTTTTTCTTTCCTTTTTAATCTCCTAAAATAATCTTTTTTAGAAGAAACCAGATAGGTGCTTTTAAGGTTTTATTAATGTGCTTTGTGCACCAATATTATTATTAGTTCTTAACTGAGACACTGTGCATTGTTGCTTTTAGATATGAATGTAAAATGATGGCTAAAATAATTTTTAGTTAGATTTATTTTGAGTTATCGGAGCGTAAATTTTGCTATTTTAAATATTAAAATATAGTTTCAGCTCAGCTTCAGAGGTGCTAACTATTATGATTTATACATAATTACTACGATTTCATAGTCAAGATTGTGGTCTTACGGTTGAGTAATCACAAATTACGATCTTTGAGAATTTCCGTAACTGTTTAAAATAAGTTTTTTTTTCTTTCTTAACGCTGTTCTTCGAAAATAGGCTAAACTTGACCTAACAGTTATGTAAATAGCATATTATTCGCAAAAAAGCATTCATATTACGACGGTGACTTCGAAAAACAGCCTTAACTACCAAGGTCACCTAAGGCTTAACTTTTTTTTAATCATTAATTATCAAGAGTTAGTAGGGGTTTTTTTTATTTATTTTTTTTAAATTTTTTTATGGGCAACTAATCTACAATATCTTTTCAACTCCTTAAATAATGCTAAAAACTTTAATTTTAAAAATAACAGCCAATTGATATGAACAAGAAATAATAATAAAAAAGAATTATTATCTTAAAAAGAATTATTATTAAGAAAATATTATCTTTTCTCTTTCCAACAAGTTATTCTGAGCCATTATCATCTCTCCATCATTATCATCTGTATAGAAAAACAAATCAAATCTGAAATGCCTCGTGCATAACTTTTTAAGAGTTTTAAATGCAGGATGATAAAAAGACAATAAGGACTAGTTCTAATTTAATCAAAAACTCGAACATCGAATCCTATTAATCAATTTAATTTTGTCGTTTTATAATGAAATATCAAGTTCCAGTGTCATCAATTTCCTATAAACCCATTATAAATTACCGTTAAGCATACTTGTCAAGACGCAGCTCAGGTTGAATGAAAAATTGGAATTTTTGAAGGAGGGAACAATAAGCTATAGGGAGCCTGGAGTACCGCCTTTTTGAGGTATGTGCCCCAACTCTTCTTGGGAAATCCATACTGTGTTCTTTTGTTCCTTTGTGTGCCTTCCGAGTAAGGCCACACTTTCGCTTCTTCGATTGAACCCTTCCTTACTGGTCGTTGTTGAGTATTGACCTAATAAAATCAAGGTTTTCCTGAAATATTTTATAACCAACGTTGTACAATATCGGATTTGAAACTATCTATGTTCTTCAACCCAGAAGGCAAGAAACTTCTGGATCGTTGAGGCGAACTAGCCTTTGTGTAGGACTTTTCGATGGAACTAATCCGCATGTGCGCTACATGGAGAGGAAAAAAGAACGAAAATTTTCTACGGTTAGCCCGATGACAAATGGATTTTAACCCATGATCTGTCAATCGCAGAGGATGTTTTACGACAGCATAATGGTGGATGCGAGCACCGAGCTGATTCGTATCACTAGCCATTGCTGAGATTCGAACCTGAGCGCTCTCTCCCCTGAGTCACCGTGGCTCTGGATCAAACATTTTATTTTATTTTATAACCGCCATGGAACAACCGACTCAGTTTTGGGTTTACGAATACTAATGTCTAACTCCGTAGCCTTGTAATTTTGAACCAATCCAGAAGACTTAGGAAATTCCTGGATCAGTACCCATAGAGGTATGATTTGCTATGGGAACTTGGAAGACTTTGTGACTCGACAGATTTAGCGTGCTTCAGTCACCATTTACTACACAGGGAGTCTTCGGTCGGCTGGGATCGAACCCATGACCTCTTTCACATGGGCCCAGTTCCCTACCAACCAACTGTCTCGGCCCTTGGATCATACAAGGGCCGGGATATACAAATATCATAGGACAAAATGCATCTCATAATGAACTTTTTTGCTGAAACTAGCTTATGTTTGTGTTAAATCGAGAACTTTCTAGGTCAGTCTGACGGTAAAAGGATTCGAACTTAGGTTCGTTCAGTAAGAGACCTGTACCTTGTTTGAAAGCGGCTTACTCGAAATATTGTGCAACAACTGTATTTTTTTCTTGTCACACATCAATCTTTCTAATAATCTGTGTTTTTTTAATGTATTTTTCGACATTATAAAATCTTTACAGTATTTCTTCGCATGCACTTTAGACATTGGACAGATTTTATATCAGGCTCAGTTTATCGCATTCTAAATAGCTAGATGAGCCGTGCTCCATGCACTGTTGCACCATTTGCATTATTGACTTTGCCTTAAGAAAGTTAAATACATCTTGAAGAATATTCAGTACCAAATCTTTGAAGATGATGGTACTATTTGGTTGTGTTGAGTTCGTAGGTGACTGAAAGTTATTTTTTTTTTCGTACAGGTAATTTTACGGATTATAATTTTTTTATTCTTTTTTTTTCTCCCCTACACTGTTCCGCATTCTTGCAGGAAATCTGACCACAAAATCTCTCAACTAAAGAATCATTTATGTTGTATCTACAGCTGTTTCCGTCTCCCTGAAAATTAGAATGCGCCGTTGTGTGGTTAAAGACCATTGGGCAGAAACAAAAATACCATTGCGTGAATAAATGTGCTTTTGATTGCTCGATTTCCACAAAAAAGAGAGAGATAATAGTGTGGTAATTCTGTTCAACCGAGCGTTTGTAACATTTCGAAGTCGTAATAATTTTTCTCTCTCTCTTATAGCCGTATTTTATAAGAAAAATAGAAATTAAACTTGTTTGGAATGTTTAGCAAAACAAAACTGTTATTCTTCGTTTAGATTTCATTAAAAGGAGGTAAATGTGTTTTTTTAAGTGCTATAGTTTCAATGCTTAATTGATATCGTGTCTTTCTATACAAATAACCATTGTCTGCCCCCCCCTTTCTATCCAAGGAGCTTATTAAAATACCTGAAGCTGTTTTATTTTATTTTATAACCGGTGTTGAACAATCGACCCAATTCTGAACCTTTAATTGTTCGAACTTTTTTGTAAATTTGTGAAAAATTGTAAATATATAAAAAATGTACCGTACCGAATATTTTTATTTTATTTTATAAAAATTCGTTGACAAACAATTTAATGAGTAAAGCATTATTTTTTAATTAGTTCTAAACAATAAATAAATTTTTGGTAATGCCATCGAAGTTATACGGGTTCGTACTAAGCATTTGCCACTTCGCCGAATGCGATAAAATTGTGTTTTGGCAAATGTATTGGAA